ACTCGTAGATTTAAGATGTCACAACCATAAAGCAGGACTGAATGAACGCTAGCACAATATACACAACCTTTCAACTTCAGTGAAACGTCGCGTCTACGCCAAAGGTCTTTCAGTCGTTGATTTCAGTGGAAGATAGCGAATTTATATAGACTGATGTTAGTAGAATAATAATTAGATGCATGAGGAAAACTGTTTGCGACACCCAGCCATATTGCTTGGTGTCTCCAACCATCGGTGACCATCATCCCGAGACCCCCAGCCAGGGAGCCTAACGGGACCTATGTGACCTAGTCGCCTGTTTAGGGTTCTTATACCCTCATGCCTGGTCTTCGTTTGATCGCCTTTAACCTTTTTCCACCCGCTACCTGCCTCGGCAAACATCACTCGCCGTGGCAACCTAATGGTGACATGCGTAACACATGTCTCCACCAACGTGATCTATTGAGTCGACCACTTGCTCCAGTGGGGACCGCAGTTACCTAAAACTCTGAGCCTAACCTCAACATTGCCCGTCCGGTTACCTCACCAGATTTGTGCAACGCTGCGCAGACAGCGGTGTTCGAACACCGACAGTCTATCTTTGTCCTGTTTTCTTAATGGTCATGTTTCTACACCGTATAGCTGGACTGGCCGAACTGCTACAGCATACACTCGACCCTTCACAGGCAGCCCGATGCCGCGACGGCGCCACAAATGTCTCAAGTTTGCAAATGCCAACCGAGCCTTTTGTATGCGTGCCGACACTTCATCCATAATGAGTCCGCCAGGTGCAATATAGCTGCCCAGATATCAAAATTTGTCTGCTTCCTCTACTTCCCCAGTTAGAGTGGGCCTGGGTGCTAGACCAACCCAATCTTGTAGTAGCTTTGTACACTTTGAAGGTACAAAACGCATACCGAACATGGCTACATTAGCACTCAAACTATCCAGAAAAGCTTGCAACTTACCTGGATCTTCACTCAGTAGCACAATGTCGTCTGCATACTTTAGATCAGACAGTCTGCCACCTGGAGGTAAATCGATACCGCTATCCTCGCACGAGGATAGGGCAGTTTCAAGAAGCACACATCCGCTTGAGCTTCAATCTGGGAATGTTCATGGCTTCCAAACGGCACACTGTGCAGACCGAAGAGTTGATGTCAGATGAGTTTCCGCATATCACTAATTTCCACTAGTGGTTGCTTACTCTTGAGAATGTTTGATATCAACATGCATACCCGTATTTTTCCAGGAAAGCTGGTTATATCCGAATATTAAAAACGACTTGGCGAGAATCGTTGATTATGATATCTTCTGGGGCAATCGTTCAGCGAAACAGAGGTACCGGTTAGAATCTTTCTTGGGAACCGCTGTCATCTTAACACACTTCCAGCTTTGGGAAATCGCTTCGGTGGACATGCACACATTAAACATTAGCAATTGGCACTGAAAGTTGCTCGGAAAATCCACTCCGCAGCTCAGGTGACATTAAACGGAGACCATAAGCTTCGTTAGCTTTGAAGCTCGTCAGAACTTTGAGATCCTTGTCACAACCCACGGGTTGTACATCATCAGAAGTTGGCTGGTATGTAGGGGTATATCTGTATCGGAGAAGGTAGAAAATTGAGAAGTTAGATCTTCAGCATCCGGATGACCGTTTGTCTTTGTACCATGAAGCTATTTAAGGCCAGCCACATCTCCCGACAGTCCTTCTTACCAAGATTGACTTAAATATGTGGCTGATTGAGTCTTCGAATCTCGTTGTTGATAAGTAAAAATACAGACTCAGTTAAAGCGCGTCTTCCAGTCGTCTCACCCCTTTCCGTTTCGTTCATGGAAGACGATTCGAATTTACGGAATAATATCTATACCGAAGCAGTTCGTTATCTCTTCCATGGTTTCTATTTTGGCTTCTGCTTTTCCGAACTCGCTTCCACGGTTCCCCTTCCATCGAACTCTTCTCGTCCATCTCGTTCTCAGGCGGGTGTTTACCACTTATCAAATTTCTGTCCCTAGATGTCAGGCTTCTATTCTTCAATCTTCTTTTTCCCCAGGACCGGGAAATTGTAGAACACTCTTCCCACCTCTGTTTCCAAGCCCTTATAACCTTACTTTTTGAAAAGCAGAATTAGCAAATTGATTCTCACTTGAATGCACCCAACATACTTCCCCCTTGCGGTGTTTGTCCCTTTCGCTGTAAAACACTTCGTGTATAATAAAAAAAATCATGAACAATACGAGGTAATGCGAAAGATGCTTACAGTATGAGTAATAATAATAACATAGTGCAACTCCACTTCGATTCGAATAATCCGATTGAGGCAAAAGTTGCAAAGGCCTTTTCCTCCATCTGTTTAACTCTATCAATTTCTGTTGTCTCTTCATGTTTTCGAACTGCAATCGATTGTGATCGGTCTAGCGACTCGACGCGCGAACACCGAGAACAACGCTTGAAAGCGATGGAACAGGAATTGATCCGTGCTCGACGTGAACTGGCCGATCTGTCACGATTGAAAAAGGCGAAAGAGGCACGCGAAGCGGAATGTATGCGTTTGCGCAACGAGATCCAGTCGCTGAAAGTGTCCATGGTTCGAACGGCCAAACAGTTAAAGGATGAGAGTACGGAATATCGACGTTGGCGTGTGGAAAAAGATCGTGAGGTGAGTTTCGCCTGGTTGTCTTAGATGGTATTTGTATTTACTCTATTGCGAGTAGGGAATGTGTCCAATTGAGTCACAAGTCCAGGAGGGTAATGCTAAAGTGAGCAAGGTTTTATGCTCTCTCAATAAGCTTCGGAAGATGAATTGTACNNCTCGTGCTTAGAAAAGGGGGCAGTGAGCAGCCGCCTCGTGGACAAGAGCGTCGTATGCTTGCGTTCTACCCGAAGGGTCCCCAGGTTCGTACTTACTTACTTACTTTACTACGGATGGCTACTTGGAAAGGATAAGCCGGCTACATGAATGTCACTAATTGCCACCCGGGTCGGCGGATTCACATAACTGATGAGACTTAGCATTATAGTGGTTCTCTCGTGATCGTCGGGTTCAGTTCCCTTGGTTGAAAGCTATTTCGTCATTTCTCATTGTTGTATCCGATACAAACAA